GTTCGTGGGTTCGAGCCCCGTGTCGGGCTCTGTGCTGACTGCCAGCTCAGAGCCTGGAGCCTGTTTCAGTCTGTGACTCCCTCTCTCTCTGACCCTCCCCTGTTCACGCTATCTCTCTCTCTCCTAGAAAGAAATAAAAATTAAAAAAAAATCTGTATAGGGGCGCCTGGGTGGCTTAGTCGGTTGAGCGTCTGACTTTTGCTTAGGTCATGATCTCGCGGTTCGTGGGTTCGGGCCCCGCGCCGGGCTCTGTGCTGACTGCCAGCTCAGAGCCTGGAGCCTGTTTCAGTCTGTGACTCCCTCTCTCTCTGACCCTCCCCTGCTCACGCTGTCTCTCTCTCCTGGAAATAAATAAAACATTAAAAAAAAAATTAAAAAAAAATAAATAAAAATAATAAGCAAACAAATTAATTAAAATTTTAAAAAATTTAAAAAAATTAAAATAATCCCACAGGGTTTTCAGCATTGAAATACAATAATAGTAATAATAATAACAATAGGGGCACCTTGGAGGCTCAGTTGGTTAAGAGTCCAACTCTTGGCTTCGGCTCAGGTCACGATCTCACAGTTCGTGGGTTCGAGCCCCATATCAGGCTCTGTGCTGACAGCTCAGAGCCTGAAGCTGCTCTGGATTCTGTGTCCCTCTCTCGCTCTACCCCTCCCCTGCTCATGCTCTGTCTCTATCTCTCAAAATAAATAAACATTTAAAAAACAATAATAATAATAATAAATAGAATAGAATAGAACAGAATAAAAATAATCCATGGCAAACTGTGTGACACAGAAACCCCAGCTCCATGCCATAAAGTCATAAGGATGGACAGCAGCTGACAGTCCTGGGGAGAAAAACACAAGGTCAGGAAAACACCAAGCAAGGAAGCCGGTGTTACCCCGGCATCCGAGGGCCGAGCGACCGCAGGGCTCAGAATGGTCCGTCGTGACGGAAGAGCCCATCTACCAGAAGGACCGGTGGGTGTGACCTGCACCTCCAACACTCACAGAGCCACAGAGCCCGCGGCCGCCGTGAGCATTTCTGACCCCGCTCAGTGCGCGGCACCCGGGCAAGACCCAGCGCTCAGACAGCAGGCCTGTCTGCACAAACACCGGCCCCCCCCACCACCGCCCACTCTCCACGAGGGCTCACCACACGGTAGGAAGGCCGGCTGCTGCCCAAGTTGAAGACACGGCGTGACCCAGACCAGGCTCTCCGGCTTCTACGCGACAAACAAGTCAGAAATTTCAACAGCAGCTAGAACTCTCTCGTGTGTTTGAGAATTTATGACACATTTCTGCCTCACTGATGGGTCAGAGAGAAGAGAAGAGGAATCAGGAAATATGAGGGACAGGCTGGCGGGCATCCACAGTGGAGGCTCTCAGGAGCAGACTGGGGCCGGCCTCGCCCTCCGCCCCACCCGCCCCCGGTGCCCGGGGCTGAGCGCAGGGGGGAGGGATGGCTGGAGGCACCGGGGCCGGGAGCCCAGATGCCCAGCAGGTGCCGCAAAGCGCCGGACGCTGGCTCCCGGGCGTGCCCTCGGGGCCGAGCGCACAGACACCGGGACCCCCGGGCCAGCATGAGCAGGTGCTGGCCTCACGGGCCCTCAGATCACGTGGAGTGTGACAGAACGGTCATCCCCTGGGTCGCGAGACCGGTGTGCAGAGCGGAGCCTGAATAGTTATGTTAGAACAGAAGGAAGGCTGAAAATCAGGCCAAGTACTTGACTCACAGCCAGAAGAGCCTCGGGATACGCTGAGTGGGGCAGGAAGGAAATAATTAAGGTAACAAGAGAAAACGAGGGGCAGCGGAAATGATCAGCAGAGGACATGGTAGAACCGAGCAGCGTGAGAAACAAGAGGGAGGCGGCGAGGAGCAAACCCCATCTGGACGGAAAGTGGGGCCGCCCCGCGAGGGCCGACAGGAGTGCGACGAACAACCTGCTGCCAACATGGTAGAGATTTACAGGAAATGGACAAACTCCCGGAGCACTTCAGCCAGGACCGCCCCGCAGCTGGTCAGACAGGGTCCACACTCAGCACCCCCCTGCCCCGCCCTGAGGCTGGTAAGGACACAGTCCACGCTCAGCCCCCACCCCCACCCAGTGGCTGGTAAGGACACAGTCCACACTCAGCCCCCTGCTGCCCAAAACACAACATCCCTCTAGCCCTGGAGCTTTGCTGCCAGTCCCTGGGAAGAGTCAAGGAGGTGGTAATGCCAACCACTCAGGCCCCGCCAGGCCCGGAGGGAGAGACCAACGCACAGCACAGACACAGCGAAGCGACCTTGCGGATGGCCGCCTGGGGAAAACCCTGCACTGAGTACAGGCACATGGACCAAATAAGGCGGGAGGACCAGGGCGGAGCACGGCTTCCCGCAGATCACAGTCCCGCTGTAGGAGGGGGTCCAAGGGGCACCCCCCGCGACCACAGGAAAACACGCCTGGGTCACGCCCCCAGACATAGAAGCAGCTTTCCACAAACTTAACGCCCCCCTTGATTCACAGTGGGGGCTTGGCTCCATCTCTGGCCGTGACCCCATCTGCATCGGTGGCAGGGCCCACGAGGAGCAGGCTCTGGCCCAGGGGATCCAGCTCCACGTCCTCACCCCCATCCCTGGGTGCAGATGCCCTCTGTGCCCGCCCGCCAGCCCCCACTGGGACATGCCGCCCCAGGCCTCCTCCCCGAACGCTAGGATTGTGAGCCCCGTGCCTTTGCCCCCGTGAAGCAGTTGTTACTTTAACTTGGTCCAAGTTAGCAACCTCCTCCTGCGGTTTACGCGTCTGCACCCCGTTGAAGAAATAGTCCCCACCGTGAGGCCATGCATGCTCTTGGGTCCTCTCCTTCACGGGGAGAGTCTGATCCGTGCAGGCAGCACTATGGGGGTGCGGGTGGTGGCTGCCCCCAGCCACTGGCTGTTGTACCCATCCTCGACACCAGATGACCTCCCCCTTCTGCCCACTCTGGGAGCCACCAGCGAACACCACACACCCTGGCTCTGAACCACAAACGACATCCTTTCCAAAATACCCAAAGACCCATGAAGACAATTAGGGTTCTCCCAGGTCCCAGGGCACCCATCACCGCTGGCCCCCGCTCAGCTCACCCAGGTGGCCGTAGCCCACCACATGCTTGGCCTGTGGGCCGAGGCGGGCACGCAGGTCGGTCACGAGGTCGTAGAGCCTCTCGGTGGGCAGGGAGAGGTCATACTTGTACACGTAGCCGTCCCGGCTCAGCGCCTCCGAGATCCTCTCCCTCAGGGCCCACAGCGCCTGGGACGGGCAGAAAACAGAGTCAAAGCCACCTCAAAGGGTGTCTGTGCTGATGGCGGTCAGAACGCTGGGGCCTGGGGTGACCGGGAAAGTCTCGGGGGAACTTTCCGGGTGATGGAAACGTTCTGTGTTGTGATAGACACGGGGCTTTGATCCAAGAGTTGGTACCAGATGAGGCCCCACAATGTAGCCATGGTTCACTTGAGGACACTCCAGGTGACAGCGGGGAGAGGCTCATGGGGGCTGCCAGTGGCAAGGAGCCCTGAGTGAAGGCAGGTCCTGGGGCTGGCAGTCCAGGCGGAGCAGGGACCAGTGTGGGCACACGTGGCGGCCCCGTGACCACTGCCCCCATGGGAGGAGCTGTGGCCTCACCCTGAGGCAGATGAGCTCTGAGCAGAAGCCGGGAGCACTGGCTCCCCGCTTTCCTCCTGCTGCTTAGGCCTCGGTGGGCCGAGTGGAGGCACTCACACATGCAGGACGGGGCTGGGGGCCTCTGTCCTTCTGGCTCCCGGGGCCTGCACGCCCATCACCGACAGACAGTGCATTTAGGAAGAAACAAAGACGTGGAAACACCAGAAGGGAAAGAATGATGGCCCCTGGCAGGCACAGAACAGCACAGCACCGAGCCAGTCCTGGGACTGAAGGGTTTGCCCACGTCCCCTCCGCTGGCGCTGGCTGCACAACACTGCGGGGGACCCACAGGACACCCCAGTGGACACGACCAGACTCCCCTGCCCAGGTCTCCCCCCGTGGTGACATCACCCATACGCACCCCTGCCCGGGTCTCCCCTGCGGTGACATCACCCAGACACACCCCTGCCTGGGTCTCCCCCGCGGTGACATCACCCAGACACACCCCTGCCCGGGTCTCCCCCACGGTGACATCACCCAGACACACCTGCCCAGGTCTCCACCCGTGGTGACATCACCCAGATACACCCCTGCCCAGGTCTCCCCCGCAGTGAATCACCCAGACACACCCCTGCCCGGGTCTCCACACGTGGTGACATCACCCAGACATACCCCTGCCCGGGTCTCCCCCACAGTGACATCACCCAAATACACTCCTGCCCGGGTCTCCCCCACAGTGACGTCACCCAGACACACCCCTGCCCAGGTCTCCCCCGCGGTGACATCACCCAGACACACTTGCCCGGGTCTCCACCCATGGTGACATCACCCAGACACATCCCTGCCCGGGTCTCCCCCGCAGTGACATCACCCAGACACACCCCTGCCCGGGTCTCCACCCGTGGTGACATCACCCAGACACACCCCTGCCTGGGTCTCCCCCGCGGTGACATCACCCAGACACACCTGCCTGGGTCTCCACCCATGGTGACATCACCCAGACACATCCCTGCCTGGGTTTCCCCTGCAGTGACATCACCCAGATACACCCCTGCCCAGGTCTCCGCCCGTGTTGACATCACCCAGACACACCCCTGCCCAGGTGTCCCCCCGTGTTGACATCACCCAGACACACCCCTGCCCAGGTCTCCACCCGTGGTGACATCACCCAGACATACCCCTGCCTGGGTCTCCCCCACAGTGACATCACCCAGATACACCCCTGCCCGGGTCTCCTCCGCAGTGAATCACCCAGACACACCCCTGCCCAGGTCTCCCCCGTGGTGACATCACCCAGACGCCCCTGCCTGGGTCTCCCCCGCAGTGACATCACCCAGACACACCCCTGCCCTGGTCTCCCCTGCGGTGACATCACCCAGTGGAGACAATGGGGCTGTGGAGGCAGGAAGACGGCCAAATCCCCTGAGACCCCCATGAGAGAGGGGGTCTGAGGTGCTCTGACAGCGCTGTGACTCCTTACCTTTAATATCTGCTAAAAGACAAAACAACTGTAAAGAAAAACGTTTAACAATAAGGCAGAGAAAGAAACCCACCGAGCCGACCACCAGGGCCAGCGTGAGGCCCGGCCCGCTAGGCCCACGCAGCCTCTGGCACCCACCCTGGTCCAGCCCCATGCCCTCCCACCATCCTGCCCACCGGCCGCTCCCCACACCGCAGCCCCAGGGACCACGGTGCACAAATAGGGAACGACGGCACCCAGCGCCCCGGTCCCCCCGTGTCGGTGATGGTGACGGTGACGATGGCTCCCACAGCCCCCGGCCCTCCCTCTCCCTCCCCGGCCTCACAGCCAAATGACCTCTGATGGCAACATGAGCGCCCCCTCCTAGGAAAGTGCACCCTTGTGACTGGCTCAGCTCCAGGCACAGCTTCCCATGTCCCCAGCACCCCTGCTTTTAAAAAGACTTTTTATGTTTATTTACTTTTGAGAGAGAGACAGAGATAGAGCATGATTGGGGGAGGGGAAGAGAGAGAGGGAGACACAGAATCTGAAGCAGCTCCAGGCTCTGAGCTGTCAGCACAGAGCCCGACGTGGGGCTCGAACCCACAATCATGACCTGAGCTGAAGTCGAATGTTTAACCAACTGAGCCACCCAGCCACCCCATTTTTCTGCTTTTGTTTAAGATACTGCTGATAGGGACACCTGAGTGGCTCAGTCAGTTGAACATCTGACTTCAGCTCAGGTCATGATCTCACGATTCATGAGTTCAAGCCCCACATCAGCCTCACTGCTGTCAGCACAGAACCTGCTTCAGATCCTGTCCCCCCTCTGTCCCTCCCCTACTTGTGCTCTCTCAAAAATAAATAAAACATTAAAAAATAATAACAAAATAAAATAAAACATCACTGATCATGACAGAGACCCAAAAGTATGTTTCTGGAGAGCCAGGGACACCTGCCCACATTCAGGAGGCACGCACTCTGAACCAGACACACGGCACCGTGTGGACGTCCTGCGCCAGTGGAGTGCGACAGAGCCGGGAGGGGCCAACAGCACACACACCTTGACCTTCGTGTGGTCCGTGGCCACGGTCCCATCCATCACCAGGCCGGAGTGCAGCACCTGCTCCAGGAAGTCATTCAGCTTCTCAGCATCATGCCCTGCTCTGGAGCCTGAGGTCTCGACCAGGACATAGAAGGGACTTTCTGGAAGGCACAGAAAGCAATATGAGTAGAGGTAAGGCTATGAGATGGCGAGTCAGGACGGGTCTGGACTGAGGTCTCTGACAGACCCCTGTGGCCATCGCGCCCAGGTAGCCCACATGGCAGGGAGCCTCTGCTCAGTTTAGAAACAGGTCTTTCAGGGGCACTTGGGGGACTCAGTTGGTTAAGCTCTGACTTTGGCTCCAGTCATGGTCTTGTGGTTCATGGTTTCGAGCCCTGCATTGGGCTCTGTGCTGATAGCTCAGAGCCTGGAGCCTGGTTTTGATTCTGTGTCTCCCTCTCTCTCTGCCCCTCCCTCACTCATGCTCTGTCTCTCCCATAAATAAATAAACATTTTTTAAGAATTTTAAAGCAAGAAATAAGTAAAAGGATGTTTGGAAAACAAAGACCTGGAGATATGAAAAAAAATTCCCAGCTTGCTAAATATAGGCGCTGTGAGTGTTGGGACACCATTTCAGCCCACCCGTCTTCTATGCGGTCGGGGAGAGCCTGAACTCACAGAAACCTGCCACGGGGCAGCAGGGTGCCTGTCCTCTGCCCAAACATGACAGTAGGAGCAGCTTTCTCTCTCTCTCTCACACACACACACACACACACATGCCCCAGGGCCACACAAGGCTCTGCTAGGGACCCTCCACCCACCCAGGGACCCTCCATCCACTCATGGGCCCCCCATCTTTTCAGTGGTTGTATCATAGCTTATTTGTTTACTCCTGGACTTGCAGATTGTTTCCTGTTTTAAAATATTAGAGCACAGAAGCACCTGAGAGGCTCAGTCGGTTAAGCATCCAACTCTTGATTTCAGCTCAGGTCATGATCTCTCAGTTGGTGGGTTCAAGCCCTGCATCGGGCTCTGAGCTGACAGTACGGGGCTTGCTTGGGATTCTCTCCCCCCTTCCTGTCCCCAGTGTGCACCCTCTCTCTTTCTCAAAATTAAATCATCAATTGATTAACTTTTAAAATTTAGAGTATACAGATCTTTCCATATTTATGACTATTTCAAACTAGGTTGTGTCCCTTCTAAATTTCCACAGTGAAGCCCTGACCCACTCCCAACATGACTATATTTAGAGACGGGGCCTTTAGGGAGATAATTAAGGTTAAATTAGGTCATAAGGGTCCTGACTCCATAGGGCTGGTGTCCTCATAAGAGAGGAAGGGGCATCAGAGACCTCCCCCCACACAGGGACCTCCCCGCCCACACACACAGAGACCCCCCCCACATACAGGGACCCCCCCCACACACACACGGGAGCCTCCCCTCCCCCCACACACAGGAAAGGCCACATGAGCACACGGCTCCAGGGCCCTCTGCAAGCTGGGATGAGGGCCCTCACAGAGCCTGGCCCTGCAGCCTTGCAGCCTCCGGCCTGCGCTAAAGCCACCGCCACCACATCGTGAGGGCGGATCGCAGGAGCGAAATACCACCATCTACAGCTGGACGTCTTCTCTCCAGGTTGGGAAGCACGGATGATTTCTGAAACGTTGTATCAGTGTCCTGTCCTGTCGCTAATGGAAGCGCTGGCTGACAGCCTGCACAGACTGACTTCTGAGTGGAAGTGAAGCGATTCTGACAAGCGCACCTGGGTTTTCTGAGACCCCGCGCAGTGGCACAACAGCGGCACCGACCGGACCAGCGCTGGGGGCACGTTTAAAATGCGCGTAACAGAATTCCGCACGCAGCCGGTGGTGCAGAGCCAGAGCTGCTGACACACCGACCTGCCGCTTCCCGGGTCGTGGGCAGGCTGGCCGGCCTGTGAGCCTCCCCTGTGACCCAGGGCATGGAGGGGGTCAGTACCTTGCACCGGGCTGGTGAGGCGCAGGTGGTGCCTGACCAGCCTCATGCACTCGGCGTCCATGAACTCGTACGCAGACAGGATCTCACCCAGCAGCCCCTTGCAGGTGCTGAAGGTCTGCAGAACCTCAGGGAAGCCTGGACAACCTGCAAAGGGTCAGAGCCTCAGGCACCAGAGCACCCCCGCCCCGGACACCCACCACCTGCCCCTCTGACGTGGTGGTGCTGACCCCACCCCCAGGGGAGGGGCCGGGTGAGCCGGAGGGAAACACCAACCGCACCAGGCTGGTGACGATCAAGACAGAAAACGCTCCCGAGAGCCCACGCGCTCTGGAAGGTGGTGGAAAGCAGAGGGGGCATGACGTAACAGCCTTTCGGGGCGACAGGGAGACAGGGAGAGTCCCCGGGGGTCGGGGGCAGAGGCACAGGGAGGACCCACAGTGGGGATGCAGGCTGCACATGGAGCGCTGCTCAGCGGAGATCAGATGGGAAGAAACTACCCAGAACACGACAGGAGTGTGAAAGGGGGGAAAACGTGGAAGGGAGAATGGACAGACTACAAAGTTTTGTCGTGGGGTCAGTCCCAGCCCTGAAGGGACAGGAAGATGGGCATCTTCTAGAACTGATGAGACACCAAGCCACAGGGGAAGGAAGTTCAAAAGACTCAGACAAAATATGCACTTGCACCCAGCGTGCCTCAAATCACTAAAGACCAAAGACAAAGAGAAAACCTTTAACGTGACCACAGAACAAAGCATCAGAGTCCCTGAAAACCGCAGTGATGGAGGGCAGCCGGCCTCCCTGTGACCACCAGCACGAGCCACAGGCCACGGAGTGACGTTCAACAGGATGAACCAAAACAAACCCTAACGTGCTTGTGGACCAGTGACAGCGCCCTCACGAAGGGGAAACGAAGGCACCGCAGACGCACCAGGGGACGGAGGATGCATCACGAGGAGCACGTCCCCGGTGGAAGCCTGACGTAGGAGGCCTGTGGTGTGCTGATGGGGACGAGGGGGGACAGGGTGGCAGTGTATCCCTAGAGCCGTGACTGACTCCCCCACAGCAATGAACACACCAAAAGTGACAACATTTCCCTCAGAATCTTGCCCTATAAGTTACTTAAATAACAAACCAAACGGATGGGAGTGCTGAGCAAAGCCCCAGTCTTGCTCCAGAATACGTGTGTTCCGACCTCGCTCTGGGAACACCAAGAAGGCCGGGTCCTGCCCCTCGGGAACAGAGTGAGAAGCTGGGACAGGCAGGAACAGCCTCCTGGAGGGCCCCTCACCCCTAGCACCAAGGGCAGGGCAGCCGGGGGAGCGGGGGGTACGTGGCTCCGAGCGGCCCACCCCGGTGGCCTACCTACCCAGGAAAGCCACGCTCACAGCCCTGGGCTTGGGCGGACACAAGATGGACACGGCCGTGATGACGCCCAGTGTGCCCTCCGACCCGATGAAGAGCTGCTTCAGGTCGTAGCCCGTGTTGTCCTTGCGCAGGGCGCTCAGGCAGTTGAGGAAGGTGCCGTCTGCCAGCACCTGACGGAGAAGGAGACGCAGGCTGGACCGTCCGTCCCAGCAGACACCCCTCTCCTCCGGCCACCGCGTTCGGGGGGCTGTCGCAGCCCAGCGCGGCCTCAGAAAGCAGAGCTGGGCACGCCCCCCTGCCCTCCCATCCCCCACGCCCCCCCCACCCGGTGTGGTTCAGGAACGCGGGCAGCCCGGCGTTGCCTAATCAGGCTGAAGGAAGGACTCATTCCCCCGCCAAGGGAAGATCCCACCAGGGCCCAGGGTGGACACCCGGGGGAGGTGGAGAAGGGGGCAGCTGAGGCGGCGCTGGGCCCACCCTCTCGTCTCCACCTCACCCTGCACCACCCCAGCTGTCCCTGCGACCTGGAGAGCTGCCCCAGGGCCCAGGCAGGGTGGGGATCAGCGGACCTTCCAGGTGAGCACACTCCGTGTTGGGAAACGGCTGGGGGGGCCAAGGCCACCCTGACACAGGGTTGGGGAACACAGGAGAGCAGACGGCACCCCCGGCTCACCACTTCCAGACCCAGGACGGTCCCGTGAAGCGAGCCGTAGCGCAGAAACCGTAGGCCGCCTGCGTTGGTGGCCACGTTTCCCCCGATGTGGCAGCTGCCCTTGGCCCCCAGGTCCAGGGGCATGACGAAGCCCCTCTCCTCCACATGGCGGCTCAGCTCCTCCAGGACGCAGCCCGCCTGGCACACCAGAGTCCCTGCAGGGCGAGCGCAGCTGACACGGGGACTCCGGGCCCTGGAGGAGAGGACCTGCCGGGGGTGGGGGGCCTCCCAGCTCTGAGGAGAGGACCCACTGCGGTGGGGGGGGAGCTCCCAGCTCCGAGGAGAGGACCCACGGGGGGGGGCTCCCAGCTCCGAGGGGAGGACCGACGGG